GGAGTTGATTTGGACTCTCCTCCCGGCCCCCTGCACCCTTCTCCTTGGTTTTGACATCACCCACTTCCACCTGAGAGTTTCTGGCCCATGCCTATCTTCGTGATAGATAGATAACGTCTATTTTTGTAGGAAAACAGAAATCGAAAAACCTACCACATCCGGGCATTGTAATCCCTGCTCCGCTCTCTTCTCTCCCACTTGACCATCTCCACACCCTCCTCCCCGCGTCCTCCTCCACCCACTTCAGAAAGGACACAGACAAAAGAAGCTGCCGGAAGGCCAGCTCTTTCTAGATCAGTCTAGGGCAGCACCAGGCAGACTCGGGGTGTGCGGAAGATCTTACACCCAGAGGACATGCTACTGCAGGTCCCAGCCAGACTGCCCGTCCAAGTCTGCCAGCCAGAGTGCGGGAGGGAGGAGCCGACTTCAGGGGAGGGTCTGAGACACGCCGCACACGCGGTGCTCCCAGCCCTGTGATGCTTGGGTTGACCAGATGTTTCTGAGCCTGGAGCGAGCAGCCAGGCCAGAAGACAGAGCTTTCTCGGTTGGTGACGACTTACACATCGGCCTGCAGTCAGGAGGCACCTCTCTTCCTTGTGCACAAGCTCAGGTGAAAGACTGAGATGAATGTCCTTCTTCTCCCCCACCTCCCTTAAGATGTCCCGGGAAACTCTTTGGGAGGTCTGGCCCGGAGCTTGCCTTGATGTAAATCAGAGAAAGACACCCACTTTGCGCTATCCACAGATATAGCCATGTAGATTTGGGTAGAGATTACTGTTTCCAAAGTAGAGTTTAGCTCACCTGGGGGGGGGGTGTGTTTGTATCCACATTTGCATATGCCTACATGGGGACATAAGCTAATTTTTTTACAGGACACAGAATTCTATTCAATGCTGTTAAATACGCCAATAGTTTAATCTCTATTTTGTTGTTGTTGCTTGTTTGAAGAAAATCATGACATTCCAAGTTGACTTTTTTTTTTTTCATTTTAATTAAAATTTGAAATCCTGAACATCTTCAGCACCCTCTCTTCCCTATAACTGGGGTCCTCTGACTTCTGTCCTGCTCCTTTTCTTCTGCTCTGTGTTTGGGGACTGTCACATAAACTGCCTCGCTAGCTTGGCAGGTGGCAGTGGAGTTTCTGTGGGTCAGGGGCCGTGGGACAGCTGCAGAGCGTCCGGCCTCCGCCAGGTGCCCACCTCTCTTGGGCTTCTTCCCGGCTCCCTGGTGGGTGGATGCCACCTGCTCAGGTCCTCGCCTCATGGAGATGATGTGGGTGGTCCCCAGAGAAGCCCCACTCTGGAATCAGCTGTAGGGTTTTTGTTGTGGTTTTTTTGGGGGGGAAATAAAACTATAATATAAATTCTCCTATTAAATAAAATTATTTTAAGTTTTGAGTGTCAAAGGCGAGATGCTGAGAGTAGGAGATGATGTATATCGTTCAGAGCTGGGGATGGTAGGATGGTGACCTTTAACCTGATCGCTCTCTGTCCCTTTCTTCAGATTATGGGTATTTATCGTCTCTTAGGATTTGTATCTTCAGTTTATTCCACTCTAGGAAGCAGAGCTGCCCGTTGTAACAAGAGGAAAAACAAAGAACAGAAGTAGACAAGGAGCTGTAGTGTCTCTCCCACACACAAATACCCAGGCAGGAGGGGAGAGGCGGAACTCGGGGTGGGTTTCCGTGAGATCATTTCCCCTTGTGGTCATGCCATTGGGCCAGGGGGATGCGGGAGGCTTGGCCTTCTCTGTGGGGCAGCGCGAGCAGGAGGAGCTGAGGCCAGCACACGAGTGAGTGGTCTCCAAGGGGTGAGCCACAGACTTGGTTTGGGATCATCCCTTTCAAGCTCAGAGTCTCGCGAGGTGGAGCTCCTGACCCAGCGCACACGAGTGTCCCCCCACAAGTGGACATCAGCCTCTCCTTCTGGGAGGTGTCTGGCCATTCCCGGTCCCTGTGGTGGTCACCCCTACTGACATAAGAAGGGACTTGGGGTGAGGCCTGATCATGAAGCACCTGAAGTGTCCCTGCTGAGCGAATCAGTTGGCCAAACTGTGGCCCCGTCGGCTGGGCCCTGGTGGGGAGGTCCTGGGCAAGGAAGGGTGTTTTGCAAAGTGACGTTGTCAGAGGGCGGTTTTTGAGCTTTCTATAAGCTATAGCTTTGTTTATTTCACCTGTTCACTCACTGTATAATTTAAAGTCATTTATGTAGCCGAGACACTTCTGTATTTCCATCATATCGTGACTGTTTGATTTTGCTAAATCTTGTGTCATGTCTGTAATATGTGTACCTTGTGTCTAAGAGAAAAAACAATATGGAACCCACATGCCACCATTTTCCTGAATCAAATTCTACAGTGGAATCGAGGATAAAGTACTTCTACTTGGGCAGGCAGCGAGGTTGGCAAATTCGGGAAACTAGAAGGAGCTAGGATTGGGGACACTCCTCCCGTCCCCTCCCCAGGGATTCCCTGAGTACGAAGGCGAAGGAAACCGACCAAGTGCATTTCCTGTCCTTGTTTTTTTATCAGCTGGCCCTGGTCATCCCCTGCCAACTCCCATTCCTGTTCCCCTCAAGCCCTTTCAACCACCCCGTTGGGAAGCCATGATTTCTCCTGAAATTCCAGAGCCACGGGAACAGTGATCCCAACTTCTCTTTGCTTCCTCATCCAGGAAGCCCAGGCTGTTGCCTCCAGGCCAGAGCTCTGCCGTGACGTGATGGGGTAGATAAGAGTCCACCTCACTTCTTTACCATCCCCCACCCCAACCTGCCCCAGGGCAGCTGAGCTACCGCCCTAGAGCTCTGTGACCTGGGAATGGCTCCGTCCAGGAGAACTGTGGCCCCAGGAGTGTGTTCCCTTCCCTGCCTCAGCCCTTCCCCTTGGTCTTTTGCATGATGTTGGACAATGTGGATGGCCCCAAGATGGCACCCAAGGATTTGGCTCTTACCCACCTGAAGTCAAATGATCTGAGTATTTCCATCAGAGAGAAACATGAAAAAAAAAGATCTCCTGTCACAAGCACAACAAAGTAGGTCAGGGGGGCGCATATCAACAGCTTCCAAATCGGGCTCTTGGGAGCCAAGAAGTGAGGAGACCTGCGTCATGCCCCCGGGGCGGGGGGCTTCTGAGAGTCTCCGGATCCTCCACCTTCCCCTTTAGCCGGTCTGCTGTGCTGAACCCCAGAAGTGATGGAGAGAAACCACCCAGAGGGAAAATTAAAAAAAAAGAGAAAACCCTGTCCGGAAGGAATGTATTTGTTGCTAAATTTTGTAGCATTGTTTACAGTTTTCCTCCATGTTATTTATGAATTTTATATTCCGTGAATGTATATTGTCTTGTAATGTTGCCTAGTGTTCACTTTTTACTGTGTGTCCTTTATTCTAAACAGTAAAGTGGTTTTATTTCTATCACACACCCCCAGTCTCTTGCCTTTTTGTTTACTGTCCGCCTTGGGGGCCCTGGAAGTCTGTCCTGCCTGCCCCCGTCCAGGCCCACGCACCCTCCCACCCTCCACACCTGGGCACCCCTGCCCCAGGCCTTTCCCTTAGTGGGAGGAATTTCGGGGAGGCGTCCCAGGTTCCCTTGTGGTGGCTGACCCGGCTTGGTCTTTGTCCCCTCCTGCGATTGCTAGAGTTGTTCCTACTTCTGAAGTGTCCGGGTCTCATCTCATCACCTAGGGGCGCTGCAGGTAGCCAGCCCGGGGCCTGGCTCAGCCTCCCGTGTTTTCCTCCTAAGCATCACCTCCCATGGAGAAGCAGGAGCGGGGAGGCCCCGTGACAAGTGGAGATCCCCTCCAGAGCTGATAGTGGGACAGTCACCCTCGGGAGCTCACTGGCCCAGCCGTCACCCCTCCCTTGACAGAGTTCCAGGTTATAGCTTCTTCTCCTAAATAAGAAGGTCCTCGACCCACTCTGTACATGCCTGGCCCAGCATTCATACACACGATCCTCTGGGATCTCCACAAGCCATGAGATTTCCCACTACCCAGGTTTCCTAGTGGAGGGAGAGCAAGGCTCACAGAGATCCAAATGCGGTCCAAGGTCCAGCACAAAGACCAAGCTGGAATCCAGACTCAGGCTGGCCCGAGAAGAAGCCCTGAATTTTCTCCCTTGTGTTCACACTTGATTGGAACCCACGGGCTTCCACGTGGGTCTTTAGGCACACGCCCGATTCTGGATCAGGCTCAGGGAAAGAAAATCACTGGGAAACTTCCACTTGGTGACCAGCTCCCACTGTCGGTGTCTCCAACAGGGATGCCCAGCTTGGCCCTCCACAACCAGGCCACAGTCCCCAGGGTACAAGGTACACTGTTCATTATCCTGTTCTTCAGAACTCGAGATTCTCAAAAGGCCAAGTCCAGGGCTATGGCCTGCGTTCCCTTGACTAGTTTAACAAGACCACCGACCGGGCAAGAGGTACGTCTCGGGCTGCTTCCAGATGCCCGGAACTCTTCACCTACCTCCGAGCTAGCCGGCTCAAAACCACATCAACCTCTCCCGCCAGGTACCTTCCGAGTGGGAGGCAAGACCAGCCACTCTGACCCGAGTCCCCAACTGCTTCCCAGAGACAACCTCAGGCACATGCAAAAGTTGGAAAACACAGAACACACAAGAAATCACCTTTCAGTAATCAGTGCAGACGAAATATCACCGCTTTTATTAAAATCAGAGTTGACACCAGGCCCTGGCAAGTGCCCTAGTGTAAGCTGCAAGCTGCACAGACACACCTCTTCCCCTCTCCTCAGCCTCCGGCTCCAACATTCCAGCTCCCCGACTTGTTGACCATTTCCAAAGCCACAAGGACGGCTGTTCACCCCGTCACGTGCCCACAGCCAAGTGAGGAAAGCAGGACGTTCCCCCAGGACCCTGCGGTTCTTCCTCGGTCCAGGCAATCAGAGAGCCATCCCCAAGCCCAACGTCCCTGTCCAAAGAGGCCGAGGACATAGACACCCGTATCTGCTCCATATCACCAAAAGAAACAGAGTAGAGACGGCGACTCACCATTGGCTTGTGGTTGGGGAAGAACGTTTGCTCCACAAGAGGGAACTTCTCAGGGCCCAGGGAGTGGAAGATCTTAATGAGCTGCGAGAACTATGGATGGAAAGGGAGAGAGCGTTGGTCGCTGTTTTCACCTGCTAAGGGAAACCACCCACTTGGTCCTGGGTGTCAGCTTTCCCCACCCCTAGACAAAAGGCAGCTTCCTTGGCTGGACAGTCGTCCTCTCCAGCACCTGGCTGCATCCACCCCTCCATTCCTGCCCAAGGACCAGGAAGCAGGTGGATCTCTGGGTTCAGCACAACCACATTTAATGGGCACTTACTACATTCTCAGCATTCCACCCAGGGTCCTCGTCCACAGCACAACCTGCTGGCTGGCCTTCATGCCACCCCCGCTCGCAATGCCTTTCTTTCTAGAGAGGCAACACCCACCGTGGGGTAGTTTTTGGTGTAGACACTGGATCTAGCATTCCTGAGTACAAAACCTTGGTCTGTCACTCACAAGCTGTGTGAGTTGGGAGGCCCCTGAAGGTGCCTGAGGTTTGATTTTCTCAGTGGTAAGGAGGGGTCCTACCTCATTGCAGTGTTAAGGATTCATGTCAGAGCAGCGCCTGGCCCCTGGGAGCCTGGAACGTTAGGCGCTATTATGGACACACATTTTTCTCTGCTTTTACAACCCACTTGTTTCCAACGGCTCAGGCCACGTCCCCTCCCACTGTGCTCTCCTGCCTGTGCATTTCCCCACTGGAGGGAAGATTAGCATCTCTCAGGCTTCATGCCAGAACTGGGCCCCACTACGGGGACCACCAACTGCACCTGGGGGACAGACTGCAGGTGCACATTTGGGACGCTGATGTCTTGCTGGAGTAGAGCATGAGGGTTCTGGGATCTGGAAACCGGTTGGAGTGGGGAGGGAGGGTGCCTGGAGCAGATGACTCATGGTATCTAAGATTCAGGTGCCACTATTCGGCTACCAGTTACTACTAGGTACGCAGGCTTGGGTTTCCTCATCCGTACAATGGAGATATTAACAGCAGGGAGGGGAGTCAGC